ATATAGGTCAAACCCTGAACCATCCCTGGCATCTTGGCCATGCCATGTGACCAAATCTTCTGTGCTGTTCGTGAATGCATCCTGCATGAAGAAAGCAGGCAGGTAATTTTCTGGTACACCAAACACAGAAAACTGCTGATTCAACCAGGTTGAATTTGGCTGATGCAAATCTAGCAGACACACCGATGGTGACAGGTTACCAGGTAGATAGTACTGCTGAAGCCTTTCCTGACACAACGCTGTACAGATGCATTCTAGGCAAGTTGAATTTCATTGCTAGATGCTCAAGACCTGACATAGCTGTAAGCACTAACCTGCTTAGCAGACATGCTAACAATCCTACTGTTCAGGATTGGAAAGCTCTGATGCGCATAGCCCACTATTTGAAAGGGACTTTGCACTACAGGCTGAGGTTCACCAGTCAGAAGACTGGAGGTCTTGAAATCTTTGCAGATGCTAGTTTGGGAAGTGACACCACGGATGGTACCGGCACTTCTGGAGTGTGCTACATGTACAACCACTCTGTTTGACTGTCTGTGCAAAAAGTAGATGACAGTAAGCCTAAGTTCCTGTGAAGCAGAACTCAATGCCTTGTCATTTTCACTTATGGATTGTGAATGGTTGATGCAACTGTTTCAGGATATCAAGGTTTCTGTGAAATGTCCTGTACAGGTGTATCAAGACAATAGATCCTGTTTGGCTTTGCTGAACTCAAGAGAGTTGCAAACAGAGGTACAGCAGCGCAGGAGAAGCCTAAGGTCCTTCTCAGTCTGGGTAGGGCTCCCTCATGTTCCCGAGTCGCCTGTCTCAGGGCTCTCTGTGTCCTTCCATGACTGCGGAACAAAAGATGACCCTTCTCTTCCCCAGACACTTCAGTCCTGCTGTGAAATTGCCTCCTCATATCAACTTTTAGGAAACCTTAATGCAGTTAGGTCCTCAGAACGTTACCGACGAAAGAAGAATGGCAGATGAAATTGATGGACTATGCAAAATTAGATAAATTAACAGCAAGGATTCGAAACCTGCGGGACCAGAGATTCTTAGAAGACTGGAGTAAAAGAAGAAGAAGAGTTTGGATTTGATATCCCGCCTTTCACTCCCCTTCAGGAGTCTCAAAGCGGCTAACAATCTCCTTTTCCCTTCCTCCCCCACAACAAACACTCTGTGAGGTGAGTGGGGCTGAGAGACTTCAGAGAAGTGTGACTGGCCCAAGGTCACCCAGCAGCTGCATGCGGAGGAGCGGAGACGCGAACCCGGTTCACCAGATTACGAGTCCACCACTCTTAACCACTACACCACACTGGCTCTCTGGAGTAAATATACGAACTATTTGAAAAGTAACTGTAATGAACAGATTACGCTAGCAGGACTGCAAGAAGTTTTGTAAGGAGGACCGTTTGAAATATTGCAAGAAAGACTATGAGGAGAGTTATTAGTTAATGATAATTAAGAGTAATTGCGAAATAAAGAAATGCAGAATAAGTGATAAGGAACGGAAAATCATCAGAGGTGTTGACAAAAGTCTAAAATGTATAAGATAAGAAGTTATGTTATATGATTGTGGGAACTGATATGTTAAAATAACCAATAAAAATGTATATTTTTAAAAAAGAACGTCCTTAATTAAAAAAAAAGATTTATAGGCTCTTTGTCCTTTTTGCTGTATTTATTTATTTATCATATTTATATATCACCTTTATTTTCCAGGGGTCTCGAGGCCGTATACATTTCATCGTCACAGCAACCCTGTGAAGTAGGGCAGCGACCGGTGAGCTTCGTGGCTGAGTGGGGATTCGAACCCAGGCCTCTCCCAGGTCTTGGTCCGTTACGCCACCACCTTGATATCTGTAGTAAACAAACACAGGCGGGGAAACGGCTGTGTATTTTTACTCGGTCAAAACGACGCCTTGCAATGTTTCCTCGTCAAAAGGAATCTTACTCTCTTCTGCTATTCGATAGAGAAGGCGACACATCTTAACACCTTCCATCTCTCTTGGTGGCTCAGCACACCTGGGTTCAAGTTTGTTGCTTTAAAAAAATAGAACACCCCTCTTTCCCCATCTCTTTCCACGTTGTAACATCCCCTTACGATGCAATGTTGGATAGGTCCCATTTCAATTTCCTGTTACTATATATAAAATTCCAGTCTGAACTGTATTGTTATAGGTTAGGGGGGTCAGTGTGGATGATCTCCTGAGCCCCTTCCAATTCTTGGGCTCCTTCATCTGCATCAAAGTGAATTGCAGCTCCTCTCTGATCAAATATCCTAAGAAGTGCCACTGTCTGCCTTAAGGTAGTCTCCCCTGGTGAATTTAATGTCTGAGACGGGTTTTGAACTAGTGCTCTAGCCTCTGCACCAGCCCTTAGTCATGTGAGCACTAATTTCAGCAGGTCTACGCCGAGTAAAGTCAGTTGAAAGGAACCCGATGTGGATATTTCCCCTAGTGCTGCCCTATAAGAATATTGATGGACTCATGGGTCTTTCTGCATCGCTTATTTGTACCTGCTCTTTTCTCACCTCCCCCTTGGTGACAGTTCTAAAAATATCTTCTTTTTCTTGGTGGCTTTTCTAAAAGTGGCAAGAATATACTAGGGATATGCACAGTGTGTTCACTTATTTATTTATAAAGTGTTTAGCCAAATCAATGAAAAACAATCTAAAATAGATGGCATAAAAGGAAAGGGGAATTGGGAGGGAGGAGGAAAAGAATAAGCTCAGGTACTAGATCTTAAAGTTATAATGACCAGTTGGGGTGAAAACAGCGCAGGGAGCTTGATGGAAGGGCTGCTGCGAGGTGACAGTTGTGGAAGAGCCCAAGGCAGCTCTGAGCAGCCATGATAGAAACACCTGGCTTCCTTTTTCCCCTCTTTCTGCTCTGCAGCTTCCTGGAATATGGGCATTTGCTCAGTGCCCTGTATGTCTTATTTCCAGCATGGTCTGCTTTTAAAATGTTTCAATCTAAGCCCTGATCCATAGTTTCAGGCTGCATTATGCACCTTCAAACAGCCTTCCTAGACATGCATATTTCTCCCATTGTTCTTCTGCATTCTGACTGCGAATGCAAGAGAATGCAAGAGAAGTGTTTTAGGGACACAGCTAACAACCTTTGGGGGGAGGGTAATATTCCAGCCAAAATGGCCACTCGTCAGCTTAAATCCTGGGCTCCCCAACACGGCACCATGGTGGTGGAATAAAAAAATTAAGGATAAATGTTCATAACTGCATATATAAACCACATGTCTGAAACCCCACAGAAAAAGTCCTGAAACCATTTTGTCCCTCCCATATTGACCCCAAATAATTTCTCTGCAAGGTTGAAGGAAAATGGCAAAGCCTCCCCATTGTCTTTTCATTCACAAATCCTGTCTTAAGGGTATGTCTGTGTATGAATAGGGTGAGCCTGTGACCTGGCTCAGGAAATAAGTATTTGTCATCACAAAAGACTGGCCAGGCTCCCCAGGGTATCCAATCAAGTGACCATTAACAGGTAACCTGCCAGACAGGAAATAAACAACGCACTCAGATTTCTGTTGTAGACCGCCCTTTCTGTGTTGTAGGTCAGATGTTTCTGGGGGTGGTCTTGGACTTCAGAGCGGGCAATTTAAAATGTCCATATAAGGGCGGGTACACCTGGGTTCTGGGTCCTCCTCCTTTCCTGTGTGTGAGGGGAGCACCCTGTTGCAACAGTTCAATAAATATCAGGCTTACGAGCTGCTTTGCTTCTCAATATTCTCTGGTTGGCCTCTGTTATTTTCTCCGACCGATGGAGAACCTACAAAGGACTCTGTAAGGGCTCTTGTGTCCACCATAAGGGAATAAGGGCAGATTTTTGGTTATTACAGTAGCCTCACGCCTAGGCCCTTGGCCCCTCCCATTTTTAATGATTGTTTTTAAGGGTTGCCTTTTTAACCAAGGATGGGGCTGAAGTGACTGGAAAGTCATATTTATGTATGTGGCCACGGCTGCGAGGATGTTATTAGCCCAGAGATGGGAAGAAGATAAAGTCCCGACCAGAGAAGGCAGGCAGATCAAGTTGATGGACTATGCCAAAATGGCCAAAATGACTGGAAGAATCAGAAATCAGGAAGACCAAAATTTCAATAACGAATGGGGAACATTTATAACTTATCTTAAGGACCATTGTAAACAGTTAAAATCGTTATTAGGGTTGGAATATCACTCGTAGTTTAAGGGTGAATTTTGGACACAATGGAGAGGTAAAAGATTTGGATTGTCATAAAGGATGTCATAAAGTAGATAAATAGGGACCGCTTACTAGCGGGAAGGTAAACGGCGTTTCCGTGTGCTGCGCTGGCTCGCCAGAGCAGCGATGTCACGCTGGCCACGTGACCCAGAAGTGTCTCCGGACAGCGCTGGCCCCCGGCCTCTAGAGTGAGATGGGCGCACAACCCCAGAGTCTGTCAAGACTGGCCCGTACGGGCAGGGGTACCTTTACCTTTTTAAAGGATGCAGGAAGATAGGATTAACAGTGGGACCCACAAAGGGGAGGAGGGAAGTCTGGGAGATTCCTGGGAGTCTAGTTTTTATGTTGTATGTTGGATATGTGGCTGTAAAATCTTAATCTGAAAAACGAAATAAATACTTTAAAAGTAATAATGAAGTGACTGGAAAGTGGGGTGCAGGCATCTCGTGACCCCTTGACCTTCCCCCAGAATGTCTCTGTGCCCCACATGGGGCCCACAGGGAAGGAAGAGCAGGCAGACAAGCTAGACTAGAGGGATAAGGTGCCCCGGATCAGGGCCGGGGCTTAGCTGAGGCCCCCAATCTTTAATTCAAGTTGGTGCCTTTGGGGGGGGCGTTACAAAAACATATTCTATTAGTTTAAGTTGGTTGCAAATGTATGTGCATTATGCAATAGTACATCAGATAGGTGTGCACTAAAATTCTGCTAAATTTTCAAGAAAACTTTTTGCAAACTGATGCAGACCTGTGGAGAACTGGAAAAGAAAGGGAAAACGAGAAACCACATTTGACCGGATTCATCCGTTCTTCATTAGGGCAGAAAAAGTGTTGCTCACATATGAAAGTACGGATATTGCTGTCATACATGTCCAATAATCAGGGAGACAATTCCAAAAATCCAATGGATTGTAGACTTTTATTTGGATGAAATGTATTTTCAGATTTAAGCTCTTTTACGCTTGTTGAGGATTACATCATTTTTGCGACTGTAAACTGGGCGGTGGGGGAGCCTGCCATGAAGAATAAATTTTGGCAATATAATAATTTACATGAAAATTATTATATTAGCAACTGTAAGTTAAAGATCCGATCCATATGTGCTTATTAAACAACTCAGACATGCACACAAAACAGGGTTGGGGGAGATTATTGTGGAAAACTGAGACCACGAGGGGGTTTATGTGTCTTTTGCAGAAATAAGCCAGAAAAATCTGCTCCGTCAGGGTGGCAACTGGAACATAACATCCACTTCTGCTTCCCTTGCCAGGTTCATTATTGCCGAGAGCTTCACGGCCATTTTGGCGGCTTTATCCAGATCGTCGCAGGGCAAGATCCTCAGGCCACTCTCAGCAATCAAAACCTTCGCGTCTTCGACCCGCGTGCCTTGCAACCGCATGACGATCGGTACTTTGAGATCCAGGTCTTTGACCGACATGATGATGCCGTGCGCGATGACGTCACACCTCATGAGCCCCCCAAAAATGTTGACCAGGATGGCCTGCACGTTTGCGTTGGACGTGATGAGCTTGAAGGCCTCCGTCACTTGCTCCACGGTGGCGCCGCCTCCGACGTTGAGGTAGTTGGCCGGGGTTCCTCCGTTGAGCTTGATGATGTCCATGGTAGCCATTGCCAAGCCGGCGCCGTTCACCAGGCACCCGATGTTCCCGTCTAAGCCGATGTAGTTGAGCTCTGCGTGGGCGGCATCTCTGTCTTCCTCCGTCACCTGACTCCAGTCCTGCAGGTCAAAGATCTTCTTCTGGCGAAACGCCGAGTTGCTGTCGAAAATGATCTTGGCATCCATGCACATCACTTTCCCCGTCGAGTCCTCCACCATGGGGTTGATCTCCACCATGAGGGCGTCGTGCTGAATGAAGAAGTCGTAGAGCTTCATCATATTGTCCGCAGCGTCGTACGTCAGGTTAGAAGGGAAACCCATCTTCTGGGCGAGCTTCAGGGCCTGGTCGTTCCGAAGGCCTTCGACAATGTCGACGGGCTCCTTGATGATGGTCTCAGGTTTCCCCGCCGCGATGTCTTCGATGGCGACGCCCCCCTGGGAGCTGGCGATGATCACGGGGCCTTGGAAGGACCTCTCCATCATGATCGCAAAGTAGTGTTCCCTCCGGAGGTACCTGCGCTCGCAGATGAGGACTTGGTTGCAGATCCGGCCCTCTTCTCCCGTCTGCTTGGTGAAGATCTTCTTGCCAATCATCAGGGAGGCGATCTCCCGGGCTTCTTCCGGAGAATAGACGATCCTCACTCCTCCTTTCAGGCCGCCCTCAAAGGTCCCCTTCTCCCGCCCTCCTGTCAAAACCTGCGCCTTAACCACCAGGTCCGTGGTGCCTATGTCTCTTGCCACCTGGTAGGCTTCTTCTGGTGTCTTCGCAACCAGTCCGTAGGGAACGGAAATGCCAGCGTCTTTCAAGAGCTTCATGCACAGGTACTCATGCAGAGACAAGCTCCTTTGTTGCTGCGTGGGCAGCCCGTGGCTATTAAATCCTGGGTTCCCACCCAGCACCCTGGCCATGGCGGTCCTCCCCAGCAGCTTCACCATGCTGACCGCCTGCCTGCAGATCATGGAGGTAGCTGTCACCCACTTTCCCCAACTTCTTCTCCTTCCCAGACTTGCCACCTGGCCCCTGGAGAGAGACTTCCCAAAGTTCTTTTTCCAACAGTCCACCTCCCTGGCCTTCTCATTGGCCAGGGCAAAGAGTTCTCAGTGACATCATAGAATCATAGAACTGTAGAGGTGGAAGGGACCCTGAGGGTCATCCAGTCCAGCCCCCTGCAATGCAGGAATCACAACCCAGCGTTATCAGAATTCTAAGGTCCCAAATCCTCTTCATGGATGACTGCCTTGCCGTGGCGAAGGGGCTTGAATAACTCAGAGAAGCTATGAGCTATGCCCAAATATAAAATAAACACTCATAAATGTACAAGGCAAACACGTACGTAAGTATATAAACCACGTGCCTGAAATAGTACAGGAGAGCAGTCCTGAAGCCATTTTGACTCTCACAAACCATTTTGACTCCCAAATTGACCTCAGATATTTCTCTGCAAGGAAGAAGGCCGTCCCTTTGTCTTTTTGCTTACAGATCCTGTAACTTGCGTATGAATATGGTGAGCCTGTGGCCTGGATTCAGGAATTGATGCATTTACCATCACAAAAGAATGGCCAGGCTGCCCAGGTAAAGCAATCAGTGACCATTATCAAGTATCCTGGCAAACAGGATTTCTGCTGTAGGCTGCCCCCTTCTGTGATGTATGCATGATGTTTTTTGGGGTGGTCTTGAGCTACAGGGTGGGCAATTTCCAAAGTTTATATAAGGGCTTGCGCACCATTGTTTTGGGTTCCTCCTCCCTCCTGCGTGGGGTGAGCGGGAGACCCTGTTGCAACAGTTGATAAAGATGAGGCTTACTAGCTGCCTTGCTTCTCAATATTCTCTGCTTCGCCTCTGTTATTTTCTCCGACCAATAGGGAACCCGTGTAAGGACTCTGTACAGGCTCTGGAATACCCCATAAGGGAAAAGAAGCAGGGTTTTTTATATAACACCAGTGACTGCAGAATGCTGCAGCACAATTGCTGATGGGAGGGTGGCCTTGCCAGCACACCACACCTGTGCTGAGAGATCTGCCCTTGTTGCCCATTTGCCGCCGGGCCAAGTTCACTTTATTAGGGCATGCTGAACTTTCCAACTTTCACATTCCAAAACTCGGGGGTGCTAACAAGTTGCAACACAACTTGGGAATTCAAAAGCTATTTTAGTTAAATTAACATAATTAGTAAGCGAAATGTTTGTAGAAAACTGCGTAAAAATAACTGCCAAGTACTTGCAGTTTTATTTTATATTGATTATTATTTATTTAGCATTACCTGACGTTTTCAGAAGGTCAAATTAAAATTCTTTGGTTTTCCAAAGGAAGTTTGTGTGGTTTTTAACCAAACGTAGATTTACCAAGCTAAATGTGGGTCCAGCCACTAAAATAATAGCAAGCTTTAATTCCTGACACCCAAAAACATATTTTTTTTAGAAATTCTCACTGAAGAAATTTTAAATAATTAAGTTTCACCCCCTAAAGCGACATGCCCAATTGGCATATGTGCATTCCTTGGCAGAACCATAAACTCTGCACTTCTTCAGGGTGGGGAAAGTAAATATTGCAAACAAACATCACATCCGCTCCTGCCCACCCACAAATCTTGGGGGTGTCCCACTACAATAACATCATTTAGACACCAAAGAGGCGTGTCCGGTCAGGGTGGTGATGTCATCGTGGAATCTTGGCCCTAGCCAATGGGAAGGCAGGTTGAGGGCCGTTAAAGAAGGATCCTTGGGAAATGCCCTGCCCCTTAAAAGGACAGTTGGGAAGGTCTGTTGGAGGAGATCTGAGCAGGAGCAAGAGAAATCTCCAAAGAAGGGAACGGGAATCGGCCTCCATGATCTGCCGGTGGACCTTGAGAGCGGCTGGCCTAATGGCCAGAGAAGGTTGCCTGGTGTTTGGTGGGAGCCCAGGGTGGTTTAAAGGCCTTGGGCTGCAAACACAGCAGCGGAGGAGCTTGTCTCTGCATGAGTACCTGAGCATGGGGCTGCTGAAAGAAGCCGGGGTTTCCGTCCCTAACGGCCTGGTGGCCAAGACGCCGGAAGAAGCTTATAAGGCAGCGAAAGAGATTGGGACGGAAGACATAGTGGTGAAGGCGCAGGTTTTGGCTGGCGGCCGGGGCAAAGGGACATTCGAAGGGGGCCTGAAAGGAGGGGTGAAGATTGTCTCCTCTCCGGAAGAAGCCCGGGAGATCGCCTCCAGAATGATCGGCAAGAAGCTCTTCACCAAGCAGACGGGACAGCAGGGCCGGATCTGCAACCAAGTCCTCGTCTGCGAGCGCCGCTACCCCAGGAAGGAGTACTACTTTGCCATCACGATGGAGAGGTCCTTCCAGGGCCCCGTGCTCATCGGCAGCTCTCAGGGGGGTGTCAACATTGAAGACGTGGCTGCTGAGGACCCCGAAGCCATCGTCAAGGAGCCCGTTGACATTGTGGAAGGCATCCGGAAGGACCAGGCCCTGAAGCTCGCCCAGAAGATGGGTTTCCCCGCCAAGGTGGCGGATGAGGCTGCGGACAATATGATGAAGCTCTACAACATCTTCATTAAGTACGATGCCCTCATGGTGGAGATCAACCCCATGGTGGAGGACTCTACGGGGAAAGTGATGTGCATGGATGCCAAGATAAATTTCGACAGCAACTCGGCGTTCCGCCAGAAGAAGATCTTCGCGCTGCAGGACTGGAGCCAAGAAGACACGAGGGACCGAGAGGCGGCCAGCGTGGATCTGAACTACGTGGGGCTAGATGGGAACATTGGGTGCCTGGTGAACGGCGCCGGCTTGGCAATGGCGACCATGGACATCATCAAGCTCCACGGAGGGACACCGGCCAACTTCCTGGATGTCGGAGGCAGCGCCACAGCCGAGCAGGTCAAAGAGGCCTTCAAGCTCATCACTTCAGACGACAGGGTCCAGTCCATCCTGGTGAACATTTTCGGCGGCATCATGCGGTGCGATATCATCGCGGAAGGGATCATCATGGCGGCCACCGAGCTGGAGCTGAGCATCCCGATCGTCGTGAGGCTTCAAGGGACGCAGGTGGAGGCAGGCAAGGCCTTGATAGCAGAGAGTGGCTTGAAGATCTTGGCGTGTGACGACTTGGACAAAGCTGCTGAGATGGCTGTGAAGCTGTCGGAAATCATGACCTTGGCAAGGCAAGCTCACCTGGACGTGAAGTTTCAGCTGCGAACCTGAGGGAGTATCAGGTCCTCCTGGCTCATGTTCCCGACCCATTGCAGAATTCTGTTCTCAGCTGGTTCCCACCCACCCCAAATTTTGTGTGGTTTTTTCACTTAATAAGTACGTTTGTTTCTGGTCTTTAAGTCATGGTTGATAATTAAAATGGTCACTATTTATATAAACGTATTATATTGCTAATATTTACTGTTTCTTACCTCCAGTTTTTCTTTCCTCCAGTTTACAGCTTCATAAATGAAGTCAATTTTAACAAGTTTGTTTGTTGTCAAACAGAGTTTGAAGCTGAAAATGCAGTTATTCCTAATAAAAGTCTGAAATCAATTTAGTATGCATCCCTGATTATTTGGCTAGAAAGTCTGCGCAACACCAGAGTCTTCCTTGAAGTCGAAAGGGATCTTTGATATTTCTGCGTTCTTCAGCAAGATGAATAAACTCAAACATTCCACGTTCTTTGTGTTAACAGGCTATTTTACACTTGGCCTATTTGAATCAGCAATTGTTTTACCGTGATTCTTGAGTTGCCACAGAAAGTCCTGTAGCTTTTCTCGTTCTGATTTACTTTCATTTATTTATTTATTTAGCAGGGAAGACGCAGTTGAATTTGCAACTCACCATTGAGGATGTGGAACTGGTCAGCCGAGTCGCAAAACCCTGAGGGAAAGGACCAAAGGAAGAAAAATGAGCAATTATCTCAGTTGTGGAGAGTAAAGAAAACCTGCTGGGGAACTCCACCCGCACCCAAACATAAGATTTAATCAATGACAGCAACATGGCATACCATGATGCATGAATTTCTTTATATATTGAAATTAAAGGCGGGGGGAGCAAAATCCACAGCCTGGAATCTTTTGCAGCATCACAACTTTATGATGATAAGGGGGAAACACTCTGCACAACATGCGGGGCTCTGCAAAACATGGGGTTTTCACTGCAAAACTGTTGCCAAAACTTGGCACCAGTTTAGAGTGATTTGGACACTGTCAGATTTTTGAGTGTCAGCCTCGTATTTGAGAAATGGATTACTCAGATTTGGGGTGCTGCAAAATGTGGGGTTTTCGCTGAATAGCAACAGCAAAACTTTGGCACACAGGGGGGCATGCCAAATTTTGGCTTTCGTGGTTAATTATCTGGGGGGGGGGTGGAGCGGTAACCTCATGGCATTTAAAACCCCGAATGGGCCCATAGCCTTTCGTGGGTGTGAAACGACCTCATACTCAATCACTCCTCTCTTTTACATTGAAAGTGCTAGCAGCCGGGGACTTTCTAAGGGCAGAACGTGAGCCCTTGACTGCAGCCTCACCCCATAACGCATCCGTTGAGGCATCCAATGGTGTCAGGATCCGCAGGGACCCCAAATCCAGAGACCTGTCAAGTCCACTATGTCACCCAAGAATAATGGCACCAACGGGATGGGCCTCTCTGGCAGAGCGGGGTCTTTCCCCATCACTTGTGGAGGGCCAGGGGATTTCTGCATGTTCAGTGTTATGTATTTAGGGGTCTGTGTTTGCCTGAGCTCAAGTCTGGACTAAGGAGTCTGAGCTCCTGTGTTCTGATTCGATACATGATGTCCAATCACAGAACACTTCAGGATTTGGGCCTCTGCCATTGGCCCTTGAACTCTGAGTCGTGATTCGCAGCTTGGAAGTTTAGACAGCCAATCACGTTGGGAGTGGGAGTGGCCCAGGCCTTCAGAAATGTATATAAGCAGTTGCTTTGCCCCTGTTTCCCAGTTATGTAGTTCAAGAAAGGTTCTTGCTGTTATCACTATGCCTTGCCTCGTGGGAACCTACCTACTCTTCACTATCCCAGCCGGACCCCAGAAATTATAGCCCCATCCTCTACTCACCATAGACAGGGAAGTAGTAGGTCGTGTCCTCGTTCAGGCCTATGCCAGCCACACGCTGCTCAAATTTAGCCGTGACGGCGTCGTTCACCCGGATGGCTCGTCCTTTCATAAATTTAAGTGGA